CCCACCGCCGCCGTGTATCTCCGCAATTCATCACTCCTCTACTCACATTTCTTGCCGCCGGTGAGCCGCATCCCGCCTCCAGCTGCCATGTGGGGCCGCATGTGGGGCTCTGGCCGCGGCTCCGAGAGTAGATCCGGCGGCTGCGGCGACCCTGAGCGCGAGAGGCGTGTCCGCTCGGATGGCGCGAGGAAGTGGACGAACCGGGGCCTCTCGCCGTCGGCGAGCTTCCGCGTCCGCGAGGTGGAGGAATACGACCGTTGGCACGGGCGTACGCCCTCCTCCGTCGCGGGCTCGTCTCTGCGCGAGATCTTCCCACACGGCGAGCTCTTCTTCTTCCGGCGCAAACCTTGTCCCCGTGAAGGGGGAGTGGTCGGAGGAGCTGGAGGAGATCGAGGTCGTCGCCGTCAAGCAGGAGCCCGAGGAGATTGTGCGCCGCGGTGTCGTCCGGCCCGAGGACTTCGTCTCCGATGACGATGCGGTCGCAGCCGCCATAGCCGAACGCAGCTTGCGCGAGGAGGTGGAGTGCCGGCGCCACCAGAAGGAGCTCGACGACCCTCGTGTTCCAGCATGCGGTCGCGGCAAACCTTCTCGCCAAGGAGAAGGACGACGAGTGGCGCTGCATCCGCAAAGAGCAGAAGCAGAAGTACATCGACCTCGACAGCTCCGACGAGGAGGATTGAGCTCCTCCACCGCGTCGTCCATGGCCGCGAGCTTGCCGCCATGAGATCCCCACCCCCTCTAGTACTAGTAGTGCATGTAGTATATAGTAAGAACTAGGTTTGTAATGAATTAGTGTTTGATCATGTATTATATGTAGTATGTGATGAACTATTACACTTGCAATTTCTCCCGCGAAACTTTTATTTTAAAATTATGCAGTTTCATATACGGTTTCTGCTTGGGTGTGCACATTTTTGACCCGTAAACCAGATATGCGTCGAACTGCAAACGTGTTTTGCGGGTCGGGATTTTGCGGGGTCTGCTAAAGTTACTCTAAACGTAAGACGCGTGTCCCATGCCGTGTCCAACTGCATGCATGCATGCACTCTGCGCACTCTTGGCAGCCACGACTCACGAGTGGTACTTTTCTTTGCCTTGGCTTCCTCGTGCCTTCCTCGTGCATGTTATTGTATAGCAATGTTGATATCGGTCATGTTGCTGGTGAGATCGAGATTTGGAGAGAGAGAGAGCGCGCCGCGCACGCCCGAGAATCATGCAAAGGCAAAGGCTGGATGGCTCCATACGCTAATCTGTGAGAGTCTCCGCCCGGTATACTGTACGTATTAAACAAATGGGTTGCCGTTTAGCTAAGTAATTCGGGTAGCAACCACGTGCATGTTATCTGTCGGTCGCGCTGTGTATTCGCGAAAGGAAGGCGTCTAGTAGTTCTGTAAAATGCCCGCGGCTAGCTCCTATGTATATATCGACTTGGAAATAAAGCCATCATTGTTGTTAGAAACAAGGTATGCAATTGGAGCGAGGGGGCGCGACCTAGCTCCCGCGACGCTAGCTGCGACTCCGGCGCCGCCGCGGCTGCGGCTGCGGCTGCGGCTGCGGCTTAGCTCGCCTCCCGTCCTCCACCACTGACCATGGCCTCCTCCCCCACCACCAACCACGCCCCCTCTGATCCCTCCCCAGCCACCAACCCCCCACCCCCACCCCACACCTCCCCTCCGTCCTAGCTCCCCTGCCGATCCAGATCCAG